ATTTTCTGGCAAATTAATAAACCCCTCTTTCTGTCTCTTCAAACCACTTGTCCTCCTTCTGATGCAGCCTCAGGAACAAGTGCCAAACTTGGAGAATTTTATAGCCAACGAGTCTAAATTGAGAGAAGCCAAATGATTTGCTTAAGATATGTGTTTGTGTGTTGGGGGGGGGTACTTGCACTCAGATTCTTAAGTCTCTAAAAATCAACTTCTGCATAGCCCCTGCACCATGCCCTGCCCCACTGCTCCTTTGTGGACTCTAGTTGTTACTCAGAGACATCCAGGCAGAAACATGGTCCCTAGGTTTGTTTGCAGAGAATTTGTGGCCTTTAAAATCCTACTCCTGGGAGGCGCTGGCCTCATATGCCAGAGGTAGCGGGTTCAAACCCAGCCCTGGCCAAAAACTGAAAAAAAATAAATAAATAAAATCCTACTCCTGGTTCTCAGCTGTCAGCTGCCTGCCTTCCCCTTCCCCAGTGCTCTAGTCTGCACCCCACCCCTGGTCATACCAGAGACAAGATCCTTTGGGGCTGGCCTCAGACCCAGTGGGCACATTTTCCCCATTACTGCAGACCTTGTTACTGGAGGTGCAAAGACAGGGCCTATCTATCTGCCAGCTCCTTCTACTTGCCCAAAGACTACCATGAACTTGTGAAATTGGCCAGAAAAATCTTCAAACCCTGCACCAGACTACTCGATTGTAGGAAGACTTGATGGAGAAGGTGTATAAGGACAAAATGTAGGTCCCCAGAAGGACAGGGGAAGGCCTTTCCTATAGGAGAAAATGGTCATGGCTAGAGTTGCGAGTATGGAGTGTTTCTGGGACCTGCAGACCAATTCAGAAATTTCTTTCAATGGAACCTGGCCTCTCTCAGTCAGTTGGGAGATGGAAGACTCAGGTTTCTTCTGAGCTTCTTGTCTCCAACAACACCTTTGGTTTTGTGTAATTTCAAAGGAATTCATTCATTTATCCAGAAATGTTTGCTGAGACACTGAGACCTGTAGAATGAAGGAAGCACAGCTTCTCTCCAGAGGACAGACTAGGGCAGCCCACACGAGTGGATAGACCCACCCCTATCAGGGACAGTTCCTGTAGGCTGCAGTGACTCACTCAGTGAGACTCTGGCCATTTTCCCCACATGATTCTAGGCCAAGGGCACTGTCCTGAAGTAAACATTACTAATGACTAGCCTGGCATGATGTCACTAGCAGCACAGTCTATGTCTGTCTGTATAGCCACATCATAAAATGAATTTTAATTTGTCATGATTTCTGACCATTCATCAGACTACTGACTCTGGAGCCCAGGGGACAGGAGGATTTACTGGCAAATACACACGGAGTCTACTAAGTGTAATGCCCAGAGCCAGGTATGAGGCCCTGAAGAGAAGCGAGACAAGGTAGCTGCCCTCAAGGAACATGGGCTTCAGTGGAAGAGAGGTTGACTATGCAGCAATGTGAGGCTGTGTAAGAGCAGAGGAGGTGGGGGAAGGGATGGATTCCACAGGGGGCAGGGAGTGAGGGGATGACAGTGACGATCAGAGCTGTTCTGCATCAGGCCTGTGGCGGAGCTTGATCTCTGTGGCCTCAGTTTTCACAGCAGCCTGTGGAACTGGGGTTCTGGGGAGCCAGGGCAAGGACTTGAAAAAGGAGCAAGATTGAGAATGGGGGTTCATCCAGGGCAGAAACAACCTTTGGACACAACAGGGGTTATTGGCCAGCCTTTATGCCAGGGTGTGACCTACAGTGGGGCTCCAGGCTCTGCCACCTGACCAGAGCTTTATGGGAAAAAACTAGGATCAACATTTGTGTCCATAGGTATCAGAGAGCCCAGGGCTCAGGGAATTCTGGGAAAAACAGAGAGGAAGCAGGGTTATGTGCACACACATAGGCTGTGTATAATCTGTCTGTCAACCTGAAATAATTGAAAGGATCAGAATCCAGTTTTAAAAAATGTATTCACATGAAAAGCTGGGAATAGCCACCTGGGAAATACAGACTCCAGAGAAACAGGATCAGTGCTTCAAACTTAAAACGCCTTGCTTATGTAGTCAGAAAATAAAAGAACTCAGTAGGATTATAGAATTTTCTATAGGAGGCTGGTGTTTTTTTTTAAATTCGTGATTAATATAAGAATACATATGATTAGGTTCCATTATTTGCATTTGTTAGGTAATGGCTCAGTGTAGTTAAGTCCTTCACCCAGGAGGTGTGTCATATACCCCTACATTGTACCTGTTAGGTGGGAGCTTACTGAGTCCCCAGCTCCCTCCCCTTTCCCTCTTCTTGAATTTAATTATGTTTTCTCTCCTGTGAGCCTGTGGTTGTTCATCTTCTAGTTTCAAATTAGTACTGAGTACATGGGGTGCTTGCTTTTCCCTTTTTGAGATACTTTTACTAAGGAGATCTTCAACCCCACCCAGGTAAATACAAAAGATGCAGGCTCACTGCCTGTAGCTCAGTGAGTAGGGAGCTGGCCACATACACCAAAGCTGGCGAGTTGGAGCCCGGCCTGCTCCTGCTAAACAACAACGGCAACTGCAATCAAAAAGTAGCCCAGCGTTGTGGTGGGTGCCTGTAGTCCCAGCTACTTGGGAGACTGAGGCAAGAGAATCGCTTAAGCCCAAGAATTTGAGGTTGCTGTGAGCTGTGATGCTATAGTACTCTACTGAGGGCAATATAGTTGAGACTCTGTCAAAAGAAAAAAAAATACAAAAGATGTAAAGTCTCCATCTTTTTATGGCTGAATGGTATTCCATGGACTACATCTGTCACAGTTTATTAATCCATTCATGGGTTGATGGGCAGTTGGGTTGTTCCCCCATCTCTGTGATTGTGAATTGAGCTGCTATAAACATCTGAGTGCAAATGTTCTTATGATAGATACCTAGTAATGGGTTCGCAGGATCAAATGCAAAGCCTACTTTTAGCTCTTTGAGGATTCTCCATACTGCTTTCCAAAAAGGCTGTATTAGTTTGTAATCCCACCAACAGCTGTATAAGAATTCCCTTCTTTCCACATCTACACCAGTATCTGCAGTCTTGGAGCTTTGTGATGTGGGCTAGTCTCACTGGGGTTAGGTGATATCTTAAGGTGGTTTTGATTTGCATTTCTCTGATCACTAAGGACAATGAGCATTTTTTTCATGTGTTTGTTGGCCATTTGTCTTCTTGGGAGAAGGTTCTGTTCATATTTCTTGCTCAGTGATTAACTGGGTTCATCTTGTTGACTTGCTTGAGTTCTTTGTAGATTCTGGTTATTAGCCCTTTGTCAGATTCATAACATGCAAATATCTTCCATTCTGAAGCTGGTCTATTTGCTTTGTTCATTGTGTCCTTAGCTGGGCAGAAGATTGATCAGGTCCCATTTATTTGTTTTTGTTTTTGCTGCAATTGCCAGTGGGTCTTCATATGTTCTTTCCCAGGC